AATCCTTTTTATGTGACCTCTTTACTCACAGATGCTTTCATAATTTGAGTGGGTTCCAAGTTTTACAGTGTGATTTTGTTCTGGAGCTTTTGTGCTGGGACTTTAGTAAATCCTTTCAATCTGGAGTTCCATGTATTTAATTCTGGAATTTTCTCATTTTTGTTGTTTTTCTGGCATTATTTTCTCTGTTCTTTTCTCAAGCTTCTTGAGAAAATCAGTATTTGATTTTAGGTGTGGAGCAGATGCTTTTTTGTCTCTGTGCCTTTGCACATGTTATTCCTTTTATCTAGAACACACTTTCTCTCCCATTCCTCGAAAATCCCTACTTATACTTCAAAATACATTTCCAACTTCCATTCTTCCATGGTGATTCCCTCTCTGATAGGCTGAATGAGATGGTCTCTCCTCTAAGCTCACAAAGTCTTTTGGGGCATCTCTAATGCCAGACTATAATCTGTTTATACATCTGCTTCTTCCATGATGATAAACTCCTTGAACAGGATGATATTTATCCATTTCTGGAAACTTAGTGCCTAAGACTGTGTAATGCCATGAATAAATGAATTCAACAAGAGGTGAAAAGTGAACATTTCTCCCAGCTATATGTCAAGTGCTGTGCAAGACAGGTACCATCTTAATGTATTTTCACTTAATCCTTACAGCAAATCTCAGATAACTGTTTATGCAACAAATATTACCTTTTAGGTTCCTATTATGTGCCAGGTTTGATCCCAGTGATAGGATGAAAAACTAAGATCTCATAAAGACTTTTTTTCTCATACAATTTTTTACAGTTGATATGTAATTCATGAACCATAAAATCCACCGGTTTGAAACGTACACCTCAGGGGTATCACCACTAGACTTTTTTATCTGTATAAAGGCAGTGCTATGTGTATCCTGGGGTCAAGTCAGAAGAGAAAATCAGGGGAAGAAACATAGTCCAGGGAAAGGGAGCAGTATGCACAAAGAAGCAGAGCTCTGAAATGGCCCAGCATTTGGAAAGTATGAAAAGGACAGGGGAGCTAGAGTTTATGGTGAGAAAGTAGGTTGAGCTGTTTTACAAATGAAGAATCTGAAGTGCAGAGAGGTGAATTAACTCAACTAAGGTCAAACAATTTCTCTTCTGCCAACTCAGCAGAAAGTATCTAATCAGTGTTTTCCCACCACGAAACCATTCCCAACAAGCAGACAGGTGCTGGTGGCAGGTGTTGACCCCACTAAAACTGTATTATCAAACACCGAATTTCCTCCTGCAATCCACCAGCCTTCCAGCAAAGAGGCTTCCTTTTCTTCTCTTTCAAATCCTTGGATTACCTAGAACCATTGGTGATAGTGATCACCAACATTAGTTGAACAAACATATTTCCACTGTGGCTTTTTTTTTTTTAAGACTCCAAAAGTCAAGATCATCACAGTGATGCTATAAGAAGGTGTTCTGTCCATGAACTAAATATTTGTCATGAAAGTCAAGATGAAACCTTAATACTTCATGAGCTCTTTGTTAGGCTAATATATGTTTGCTAATCATGTTTCAAGCTCTCAGTATGATGATGAAAAAAATGTGTTTTTGTAAGCCTCAGTTTTCCTGCCTGAAAAGTGACATTAAGAAATCTTGTCCCAACCACCTTACCACCATCCTGCCCAAAAGAACTACTGGAAAACCATGGGGATCTGTTACTGTTTTGGAATTCTTGAGGAAAAGTTCAATACATGCTCTTAGAAATAATATGCCTAATGTAAGAATTTCTCCAAACTTCTGACCTCAGTGAAACATTCATAAAATCTTTGCTTATTAAGCTTAAATTCAGCCCAGATCAATCTCCAGTTCATCTCTCTGGGAAGGGGGGAGGTATGGGAACTCAGAGAAAACAGTTAGAAAATGACTTTTGTCAGGCAGTTGCAATGACTTTTGGATTTCCATTTTGCATTCAGAGGCTGTCCCCTTCTCTATGATGTGAAAAAGCAACTCTACCTTGTAAGGTAACAAACTACAGGTGCTACAAATCAGAAGTGTGGTAGCAACACATCCCCTACCACACTTACCATTCAAGCTCTTCTCTAGCACCATGTCTACAAATCACCAGCAGGACAGAACACACAAATTACAGCAAAGACCAGTTATTTTTCAGGGAAAAAAAAAAAAATGAACATGATCTCATGAAACAGGGTAGAAGATTTCATCAGAAGCCACCTCTACAGATACTTGCTATTATCCTTTGTGTAGCCTTCACAACAATCAAGAGTTGGTTGCTTTATTCTGTCTTTGTGGATAAAGAAACTTAGGCTCAGAGATGCTGGATCACTACAGGACATGCAGCTGAGGTCCTAATCCTAATAGGAAAAGTCCTTCTATCTGCCAGTGGGTCCTAGACAAGAATCATCTGAGAGCACTTACGGATAACAAAATACAGAAGAATCTTTAGATACTTGCTACCTACTAGAGAATCCATGCTACATTGTTTGGAGGTTTGCAGTAGGTCCAAGGAATTCACAATGTCTGAAAATATTATACAACAAAAGTTTTACTAACCTTTAAGAGACCAATTATCCCTGCCACTTTTGTTTCTCTTTTAGAAAGGGCAGTTTTGAAATACTGGAAGTAAAGTAAAGCAAATAGCATGAAGGTGATGATACCAATTAGGGATATTTGTGTAAATAATCAGACGATCATTAATTTCTAGTCTGCTGAGGTTTCTACACACACAAGAGTTTTCATTTGTGATTCTCCACTACATTTTAGTAGGGAAGCATCCATACTTATCTAATAGTTTGAGAAACAATAGCAAAGTCCATTCCTAACTCCAAGAGTGGTAAATTCCAATTCCTTTTCTAAAAAGAGGAAATATGTCAATATTTGAGACCAAAGCCAGAATTCAAATAACTGCAAATACCTAGGTGAGAAAGATTACATTTTCTACTCTAGACAACTATTTAAGGAGATGCTTCCCCACAAGGCAGTACTTTAAAGCTTGGGAGTTCCAGGGGAAAGGAAAGAAACAGCATTAAGTATGTGTCCACTGTGTCTTCACACTACTCAGTTATCCTTTGTGTAGGCTTCACAACAGCCAAGAGTTGGTCCCTGTATCCTCTTCTCCATGGTTGAAGAAATCTAGGCTCAGACTTGCTGGAACACTACATACAGGTCACACAGCTGAGGTCTGCATCCTAATCCAAAAAGGCCTTCACCGGCCGGTGTTTCCCAGAAAAGAATCACCTGGGATTACTTAGAAGAAAACACAAAATCCAGGCTCACAGTCAGTCTTCAAAGGAAGGGGCCAGAGAACGTGTTTTTTGTTTTTTAAGAAGCCGTGCTGCCTCCCCATCCACTTGGTCAACAGGAAAGCTTGAGAAAGACAGTACTTCACGACCCAGCCAGGAGACTATCCCTACATTTGTGGTTTCTCCATCAGGAAACCCTTAACCTTCTCAACATAAATTTAAAAAAATGCACATTTCTATGGTCAAACCATCACCTCTCCCAAGGCGCCCAGTAGTGCCGATCTTGGAATCTTCTTTCGCTCCTTCGCCTCTGAATCCTGCCATTTTTTTTTCTTTTCTGTAGAATTTCATTTCCTGGCTGGGATCAGGCTCTAACCACTAGACTTCCAGGCGGGCCCCGGAACCAGCAACCGGTCTCTAGTCTGTCTGGCTCCTTCCGTAGCCCCTCGACTCGGGCTGCTCTCATCCCAACCCAGCCTCTTCCGTCGGTCACGTTGTTTCCTCCGCTTGGAAGGACCTCTTTCCCGGCCCTTCCCAAAGCTCGGGGAACTCCTCCACCGCCTGAGCGCCTCCGCGTTCAGTCACCCTCGCCTCCCACCACCCCAGCGGGAGTTAAGGGGTACTGAACCCGGCCTCGAAGCATAGCAGCGAGCATCGGTCCTGCCGGCCGCAGCCCCTGCCCACTCCCCACCCGCCACCTGGCTTCGCAGCGGCCGCTCGGGAAGCCCTAGGCACTTCCCAGAATAGAGAGCAGCTGCCAACGTCAGGCTGCCGCCGGCCGCGGGGTTCCGGGCGCACCGGGTGCCGGCGGAGGGGACGTGGCTCCGCTCTGGCCTTCCTTCTCCCCTCGCCGTCCGGGAAACTGAGGCCCGGGGCTGGAGCAACTTCCCCGGGGTGCAAGGTTCGTGTGGGCCCGGCCAGTCCCGGGCCCCCAAGCGTCCAGACTCCCGTCCGCGCTCCTTCGACCACACGCGCCGCCCGGTCGCCCGAGAGAGCCGGATGGGGAGCGGGTCTCCGAGCGAGCGCTCTGCCGGGGAACGCGCAGGGAACCGGACTCGGCCAACTCGCCGCGAAAGTTGTGGTCTCCCAGCCTGCCCTCGCTTCTCACCTCCGAGACACACCTTCCCGCCGGCCCGGCAGCCGCGCCCTCACATCCGGTCCACCTTGCGCACACCCCCTTCCACTCTCTCCCGCAGCCCCTCGCCCTCCCACGCCTTGCGGCTCCCAACCGCTCCCCATCGCGCACTCCCACCCGCGCCCGGGGCGCGCCTTCCCCGCCCCGCCGCTCGCCCGGCCTCCGCGCCGCGCCCGCCCCGGGGTTCTGGCGTCCGGGAGCCCCAGACCGGGGCCGCGACCCGCTTCCGCCTGCCCGGCGCAGGGCAGAAGCCGGGGTAGCCAGCGCGGAGCGCTCGGAGCTCCGGGGGCGCGAGGCGAGGGGCGCAGCGGCGCGGGGCGGGGAGGGGGCGCTCGCTCGCTCACTCTAGGCTGCGCACACGCCCGTACAAACTCTCACACAGACACGCGGGGTGCGCTGCCGCCGCCCGCCGCTGCTCCTCCTCCCGCCACCGCCTTGAGAGGGAGAGAGAGAGGGAGAGAGAGGGAGGCAGAGAGAGCGCTTTGTCCGCGCGCCGCCGCCCGGCCCGGGACTCTGCCCCGAGGAGGCAGCCGCACAGAGTCCCCGCCTCCGCCTCTGCCCCCGGGCGGGCCCGGCCGGCCGCGGTCGGGGAGGGGGGGCGGAGGAGGAGCAGGGGAGACGAGGGCAGCGGAGGAGGCGAGGAGCGCCGGGTACCGGGCCGGGGGAGCCGCGGGCTCTCGGGGAAGAGACGGATGATGAACAAGCTTTACATCGGGAACCTGAGCCCAGCCGTCACCGCCGACGACCTCCGGCAGCTCTTCGGGGACAGGAAGCTGCCCCTGGCGGGACAGGTCCTGCTCAAGTCCGGCTACGCCTTCGTGGACTACCCCGACCAGAACTGGGCCATCCGCGCCATCGAGACCCTTTCGGGTGAGCAGTCGGCGCTGTCCCCCTCCCCCCGCCTCGCCCTGCTCAGGCCGGGACGGCGCCCGGAGGGAGGCCGAGCCCTGCGGGCGGCGCCCGGCGGGGGCTCCGGCGTTCACGTTCACTTCCACGCACCAGACCTTCAACTCTCACCGCCGGCCCGCTCCTGGGACGGCCCGCTCCCCTCCCCCCACCAGCTCCGGACTCACCCTGTGCCCTCCCAGCCGCAGTCCTGGGGCGACCCCCGTGCCGCCCCGAGGGTTCCCGAGGCTCGCTCGCTCTCCCGGGGACCCCCAGTTTCCCCGGCTCCCCGAGCTGCTCCCCAGAGTTCCCCCACCCCCATCTTTAGAGAGCCCCCCGTCTCCCCTTCTTCCCTGACCTTCCCGTCACCCCCTTTGTCAGGGACCCCCCCACACAAAAAAAACCCCTCCATCTCCTTCTCCCTTGACCGGACCTTACCCCTTCCCGTGCCTCGTGCCCAGGACTTCTCGCCCTCTGGCGTCCCCTGAGCCGCACTCTCCTTTCGAGCCCCCCCTCCCCAGGTCGCCCCGCGGTCCCCCACTTTCGGCACCCCCTCGGCGCCACCCTGACGATCCCCTTCGAGATTTCGGGGAGTCCCCCGACCCCAGCCCTTGCACGACGGCACATCTCTCTCGGTCCTCTCCCGAACCTCACTCCCTTCTCGCTCGTCTCTCAAGCGCTCCTATTTTTCTCTGAATTTTTTGTCCGATTTTATTGAGAAGAACTCGGGGCTGGGGGCATTCCGCCGCCTGTCCCCCCGCCTCCCGCTCGGCCAGAAGCACCTTTTTACGAGGTGCCCTGTCTCAACTCGGTGGGGGCCCGGGCTGAGGACCGAGAAAGAGGCGACCGGGGGGCCCGCGAGAGCGCTGGAGCCCAGACGGGAGACGGAGCGCGACACACACACACACTCGCGCGCGCGCGCACTCACCAACTCTCCTCTCGCACACGCACCGCTCGGAGCCGCGCTCGCCCCCAGGCCACGAGCCTGCGCCCCCCGAGCCTCTGCCCGCGGCCGTCGCCCCTTCCCCACCAGCGCGCGGGGTGGGGGCGGGGCGGCGGCGAGGCCAAGGTGATCCGGAGCCGGCGGGGACCCGGCTCTCGCCGAAGCGGACCCCGGGGGGCTTCGGCGCATCTCTCCGGGGGCACCGGGGGAAGAGGGCAGGGAGGGGGGAGCGCAGCGGAGCCTTCGGGGCCCGGGTTAGCGGAATGGAGAGGTGGGGGCCCGGAGAGGAGCGGGGCCGCGCCAGCCCTGCAGCTTGAGTTTCAAATGAGCTCATCCTTTCAAATTGGCGCCGCTCTTTATTAAATTTGTTTTTCCGGTAATGCCACCCACAGCTCTACCTGGGGTCGGGATCCGGGCTCGCACCCTTCCCACCTCGTCCTCGGGGAACGAGGCGAAACGCGGCGCCCACCTTTTTTTCCCACTGGGAAGCAAGTTTCCCCAGCTCGAGCCGGGTAGGAGACCCCTGGAGGGCGCCCGAAGGCGGAACCGGAGCGTGGAGTTCTCTGCGTGCCCCTCCTAGACCCCCGCCGGTTTGATCACAGCAAGGTTCTGAGTGCTTTAATTTCTGTTTTAAAGGTAAAGTGGAATTGCATGGGAAAATCATGGAAGTTGATTACTCAGTCTCCAAAAAGCTCAGGTAAATATATTTTGCTTAGTTTTTTTGTGATTGGTCTCACATATAAGTAAAAATACATTCAGGTGTGTGTTTTTTTTAATGTGCTTATATAGTTTTTTAAGAGGCTTTTGTTTGTTTTGTCAGTGGAGATAAAATAGTTTAGAAAGTTACATTTTTTACTTTCATTATATAAGGTGTTTACTGTACTTGGAAAATATCTGGTGCCTATTGGGGGTGGGGGTGACGAACACTAGCTGTGTTAAATTTGCTGGGACCATTTAACTTGTTTATGAAAACTTGCCTCCCCCCCCCCACTCCCACCCTAACCCCCAGCACAATGGCAGCAAATGCTTGTCAAGACTTCCTGTGAGATGTTAAGAGTAAATATTTACTGTGTCAGCTAAATTGCTTAACTAAACTTCGCGATTAATTACTTTTCTTTTTTAGATAGCTTAAATGTTGAATAATAAAATAATTCAGTTAAGGGTCGATATTTTACATAGCGCTTTAAACAAGAAGGTTGTTTGGATTGGATGGCAGTTAAAAGCCAGACTTTTTTAGTCACTGGACTACTGAATATTGCTTCTGAGCGTGTTGTTGTTGTTGCTTTTAAGATACGTTTGAGGCTAAACAAATATCACTGTGAAATTTATAATTATATTTAAGTGCACTGTTGTTAATGAAGGAGTAAAAAGTTTTGTGGAGGTTGGATTTCTCCACAGTGATTTGCTTACATGAGAATGTCTATGAGGAGAGATTGAGGGAGAACATCTTTGTTTAAAGTTTATTGTGGACTTTAAATTTGGGCCCTTTATTACTCATTCTAGAATTTTTTTTCTCCTATGTGTCGTAACTTAGTTTATATCCTATTCACATACATTTCTTCACCATTAGTCATTAAGTAGCTGAATTGGAGACTCTAAGTGCAGTCTTTGACTTACCACCTTTACAATTTGTGATTCTCAACAGTGTAACCATTTACTTGATTTTTGCCAGAATTGAATAGATTTTGAAACAAACTATCCTAATTTTTAAACACATAGATGTTTTGTTAAAGGGGTTTCTAAAAATGTGTGCAAATTTCCAGGTATGTTTTAACTAAGCAACAAAATATCTTTTGTTTACCAGTGATTCCAGTGGCATATCAGAGAGCTACTTAATACCTTTAAAAAAAGAGGCAAAAGTTATGATTTGCAGTTTCATGTGTAGCATTAAGCTACTTCTTGCTAGGAAGAGATGTAATGCGCAACTGATAGGTTTTTCAATTAAGAATTTTAAATTTGTATACTTAAAAATTTTTTGGGGGGCTTGAGAAATCTAAGTTCGAGCTTTCTGATATATTAACTATTTATTGTAAGTTAGAATTACTCATAACATTTGAATATTGGATGAATATATTGAACAAGGTTTAAAAGAACCACCCAAAATATTTGATGGGTTGTGTTTCTGTAAATATATAATTCTATTGACTGTATAGTTGTTTTGAGTTCTTTTTTGGAGTTATAGTTAGTGAAAAATCAGTAGAATTTTAACTTTGGTTAGTTTGTGTCTCATTTCATGCTGCAAAGAACATTATTTAGTGTGGCAATGTAAGTGAAATACTAGTTTATCTAAAGTAATTAACATCTTCTTGAAACTTCTCACAAATATACTACTTTTTAACTTTTTCCTTTCAAAATGCAGAGGTTATTTGCTGTTAGCTGGAGGGTCATTTAAATGATTTTGTTGTGTTTATATAAGAGTTTAGAATTAAAAGCTTGTCCCAAATTTTTAGTATTAATTAAAGAGCTATCTAGGACTTTTACAGCCCTATTGGGACATGATTTCTTTGAACATTGTGGGTGATACGAAATACCTAGGAGGTAGATTAAAATACGCTATGTGTGATTCACTACACTGAAGACGTCTGACATACCAAATGTATGCATAAGCTGCTGCTGTAGAGGGTTGCTTCATTTCTGATTGGATGGCTTGAATCTTTTTTTCCTTTCCTTTATTAGTTTAAAATGCAGAAATTAGTTACTGGTACTGCAGGCTAAGGGAGAGATAAGTGATGACTGGTGTTGTGTACTGAGCTCAGACTCCTGGGAGGAGGCAGCTGTGTGTTCTCATATACAGGGCTCCACCACGGTGGGGACTCTCAAAAACAGGGTACTGTGACATTTGAAACCAAAGCTTTTATGTTATATGGTGACTATTTTGGTGTTCTTTTGTTGCACTTCCATGAAAATTAACAAGTTAAAAGTACATTTGTCGGCGTTAAGTCAGTTCTATATGTGGTTTTTGTGTTAGTAGAAGTGAAAATGTGAAGAAAACAGTTCATCCTCATTGCTTGCTTGCTTAAAGAACCATTCTGCAATTGAGTGCTCCTTTTCTTTATGTTGTTCTGATTTCTTTCTGTTCTCAGGAATCACTTTTAACAACTACATTCCAGATAGATTTTTTTTAAGCTAATGATACTTGGGAGGGGATGTTTTTTATCTTAAGTTATGAAAACATTGGCATGCCATTTGCTTACCAATTGGATCTTTTGTTAAATATCATTCTAGCATCATTTTATATGTGCTGTTATTGTGCACAGACTAGATACTATTATTTTCTCAGGGTCACTCAGAAGTAGAAAACTCTTTTCTTTTGCCACATGTGCTTCATTCTTATTAAATGCAAATTATTGTAAAGTAAACCATGTACAAACCATCTATTTTTCTTAACTTTCTAAGTTGGCTTCGGGCTCTGTTGAATAAAAATCTTCGATTCTTTTTTCTCTATTCATGGTAGTATATAGGAATCAAAGATTTCTTAAAGAAGAAAAAACTGACAAAGGGTTTTAAAAGTTGTGGAAATTTCCTTGATAGAAATTTCATTTTTGATGTTGATGAGAGTTTAGTTTAAAAAAATTTATATGCTGTTTGTGTCTACACACATGCACACAAATACACACACATATTGCATAAATTGTTTTGAGCTAAGACTTATACTTACCTGAATGTGCTTTGTAACTAAAGTTGAATGATTCTGTGAGAAACAAAACTTTTAAAAATGCAATTTCTGCCCACTTCTAGGAAGTAACTAAGTGGTGCTAGACATGCTTTCACTGAGATGGTGAGAATACTATGAGGTAGTGTAGGAAAAAGCTATGAATTTGTCTTTCATGAGTTAAAAATCAGTAATTGTATTCTCTCCAATGCAAATGAATTTGGTCTCCTATAGGAATGTTAAAGAAAACAGTATCTCAATTGTATTTTGCTTGTATGTACTACATTGTGTTTAGTTGAATTAAATACCAAAAAGAAAAAAAAAACCAACCACCCAACCTCAAGCCCTCCCTGCAACAAAGGCTTTTGATGGGTCAATTTTTAATTTTGTAGCAACAGAAAAGACTTCATTAGGTTAAAATCACATGTTTCCCTATTTCATTTCAAGAATTTGTTGAATTAGAAGTTAATGCCTGGATTTAATTGTATAGATTACATGTGTGGATATTTCATATATACATATAAGACTCAAAGGTTACTTATGATTTGTTTTTGAGTTCGACATTTAGCTTCTCATTTTAAAAAAAAGGCTAGTAATTTTTTTCATACAGTTCTAGGTCATGCCATATAAAATTATGCATTTCTGTGACCTTTGTGAGATAAGTATTGAAATTAAAATAGAAGCAATAAAGAAAAAATTACTTGATAATTCAGGTTTAAAATTCTAGTTTGTGTTTTTAAAAGACTGGTCATTTAATATTTTTACATTATTTGGTTAAATATTAAAAACCATTGAAATCTACAAATCAAAATAGATGTTATATACTGCTTGATTTTCCAATTTGTCAAATTTATATCAATTTTAAATTATATTGTAGTGATTTATAAAAGTGCTAAATGGCTAAACACATAAACATTAGTTCTAAAAGGCGATTTTGTGATATGTAATACGTTTGCCAAATTGTGTTTTCTTAAATAATAGTGTTTCTTTGTACTTATGGCTGGATATAAGAGACTGGTAAGTGATGGTCTCAGAGTTTTGTTTTCTTATTATGTTAACCTGAGATTATCATTTATATAGAGAAGGTGAGAGAAGATTAGTAATATTTGTATAACACTTTTTATATGTAATGATCTAAAGTACAATATATTTTCTTTAAAAAGAAAAATTTTAAAGGACACTGAATATTTAGAACCAATAGATATCAAAATCAACATTTCACTATTATTTTGAGTAAATTTTTATTTTGTGGTGGTTCCAACTTTTAATGGGTGAATGTAAATGACATTGAAATGTATATACAGGATAGTAATTTGAGCACATTTATTAAAAGTCAGTAAAGCTATGAAAATCAGATTTCTGTAAGATTTATACATATTTGATACCTTCAACTTTTTACATATTTGCTGTCTATTGCTGAATCACTCTTCCAAGTCTTGCTAATGAAATCCTTAAAAGTAGATGAGCAATTGGATAGCATTGTCACAGGACATTATTTGAGCTTAAGTGTATCATCTCTGTGATTCAGTGGGGTGTGTGCACATGGTGGGTGGGTGTGTGTGTGTGTGTGTTATGGAAGACAGTAGTTTCAGACAGAGATGGTATCAAGAGGGAAGAAGAAGAAATCTTTAATTGAGCAACAAATGTTCTGCTTTTCATTCCTGACAAGGCACATGAAAATTGCTAGGTGTTTGAACCTTGTGGTAAATGGAGTCAAGTGGAGTGAAATGTGCTTGCCTGATCCATAACTCTTGCAGGTGGTTAACCTTGTGGAAGCCAGGGCACAGTCACCTGTAGTGACTTCTTCAGTGAGCATGCTGCTGGAAGGACTGGTCTATGCTAAATATTCTGTCCTTCACTTTTGCTCATATGTCCCCTCTCAATAAGAGAGTTAGCAAGTGATTCTGTGTAGGCTTTGATTTTCTGTAGAAAATTCAAGATTTGAATATGTATTTTCATTTAGAAATTCTATACTGTGGAAGGCAATGTATTTTTTTGTGTAACAAAAGTACTCTGAGAGAATCAGTTTCATTAGAAGAAGCATG